GGACTCCTGGCTGGGCACCTGACAGCACCTCATTCAGCCCCCGTGGCTGCCTCAGGTGCACAGAGCACCCCCAGGGCTGCCTCAGGGACACAGAGCACCCCCAGGGCTGCCTCAGGGACACAGAGCACCCCCAGGGCTGCCTCAGGGGCAGAGAGCACCCCCCAGGGCTGCCTCAGGGGCACAGAGCACCCCCAGGGCTGCCTCAGGGGCACAGAGCACCCCCAGGGCGGCACAGAGCAGCACTGACATCAACCCAGAGGCAAGGCCACTCCCCAGGGGCTCACACCGAATTGTTGTGCTTAAACCAGAGAAACCCCCACGCTAACTGCCTCCACATGCAGCTGTCGCCTTTCTACCTTGAATCCCCAGGACCCTGCTGGTGGCGGCTTTTTGATGCCTTTGACACTAACGCTTGTGCCCTACAGACGCTCACATCCTCTCCACTCAAGGCCCAGCGCGAGCCGATTCCGGGTGAGATGGCCACGGAGGCGGCTGAGCCGGCTCGGCTCTGACACCCGTTATGTTTCCGGCATTGAGAGGCTATGCCCTTCCCAGACCCCACCCCTGGCCACAAGGCTCCCCTGTGGGAGCCTCCCCCCTATGCTGGGCACAGGGTGTGGTCTGGCCAATCCTAACCCCCCCTCCTGCGCTGTGATGAGCTCAGAGGTGGGCTCAGAACCCAAGCCAAGGCCCTGGGCCAACTTCAGCATGAGCCCCGGGGGACCCCCTGTCTGGCTAAGTGGGCAGAATGCGGGCCGGAAGTGACTGCTGCCCCAAGAGGGGCGGGGCTGCTGGGAAAGACCAGGGCGAAGGAAGGACGGAGGAACAGGCCTGGAGCAGGGATGGATCCGAGGGGAGGCCGAGGACAGCCTTCAGGTGCCTGGATCCAGCCGTACCCGAAGCCCTCCCCCTTGACTTTTCTGTTAGAGGCCCACAGGCTGGTGCCGTGCTCTGCAGCTGCCAGTGGCAGATGCTAAAATAAGGACTAGCTCCGCCCAGGGGAAGGACAGCCATGTGCCTGCCCTGGGTGCGGGCGGAGGCCGTGCTCCCGACAGCCCCGGCAGAGGG